TCAAGAACATATAAACATATAAATATACCAACGTGGATTAAGACAGTGAAATATGGCAGAAAAATGACAGGCTGGAAAGGGTTTGTGCCTCTGAATATCAAACTGCAACAGAGAATTTTCTTTTTTCTTTCTTTTGCTCAGGTTATATACTTAGGCAACGGTAAATAACCCTGCTGACTTACTTTGAGATCAGCTTTGAGAAAGCCTGTTTTTCACTCCTGATTTGTTGCAGCTGTATCCTGAAACAAGAGACATAATCAAAACCAAGTTAAGTGAAATCCGCTCATCTGAGCCCACAGACGTGAATTCAATGAACACAGCATTACCTGAACCCCATCCGTTATTATCCAGAACAATTACAGTGATTTGCCACGGATTGAAAACACCCTTTTTCAACAGCCTCTGAGTCTATATGTAGGTATGTTGTTTTACAAGATGAAGAAGTTTCTGGCTGTAAAACATAGTTAGCATTCTTAAGATATAAGAAATTTAAACTTTAACATCCATCAAGTAATTTTCTATATCAGCTAGGGTTTAAAATTAGTCGAATTTGCACAGTTCTTTGACTTCTAGCACATAGCCAGGCAGATGAGCTCCGAGCCAGCTCCCATAAGTAAAGATGTTGAACTCATGAAAAGGATCACATCCTGGACTTGGTTTTAACATTTGGCCTCCATTGACATGATTTTGATATGATTCTTCCCTTTCTGACCCTATTTCATTTTTTTTTAGTGTAGACATTTATCTCCTACTCCTGCGCTCCGGATGTCTCATCACTGCTCAGGCTGGGTTTTAGTTTTGTTCTTTCTTTTCTTTCCTTCCAGGAACCTTTTAAATCTGACAGATAAAAAAAAAAAATACAAAAAAATACAGAAATGTGAAACTTTTCAATAATAAAATATAAAATTAAATGAACAAAAAAGTGAGTATAAAAGGTTAGCGTTTATAAATTAAACAGAGCCGAATCCTAAATTAAAATGACCTAATAAAGTGAGAAAAACATCAAAATGTTTATTTCTTTCCACATTATCGTTAAAACAGTTTGGGGTTTGGAGTGACGCTAATGATGCAAAAACCTTAATTTCTTTATTGAATCTGAATGTTAATGTAACTTTTTCAGGACATACGTAGATAAGAAATGTGTTCATGTTTAGAACATATGCAAAGGTTGCTCCGTCAGTCACATATTTATCCATTTTCTTTCATCAGGTAATTCAAGTTTCCATGAAAGGAGATGCAAATATGATGACTAATAACTCCAGCCTTCCCCTTGCTGCAGCAGTGGTATTGGCATCCAGCATCAATTCTGATGCAATTACAGATATCTGTAATGTCATTTTGCCCAGTGAGATTTATAACTCAAGATTTCCCTAATTATGATTTGATTTGACAGAATGAGTTTAAAAGATATCTGCAATTTCAAATATCTCCACTGCAAAAACGATCTAGAAATAACTTAAAATTTCTTAAATTAAGTGTATTCACCCTTAATTTGAGTAGGTAAATGAGATAGTTTGCCAATGGAATGAGTA